CCAATCCTAAGTTTTAGTGTTTTAGGGGCTGTCCCCACAAGTTGTACTTTGTACCCTTTGTATGTCTGTATGCGCTTTTTATGCCAATAAAGGTAAAGTAAAGTAAAGTAAAGTAATGTTGGTTTGGCGTGCTTGTTCTTGTGCAGCAAAAATCAAGTCTTTGGTTTCTTCCTGAAGGGTCCTCAGTTTTAGCCATACCCATGTTGAATAATGATCATGCTTATTATGATTATTATTATTATCATCACTCTCAGTATCTGCGTCTTTGTAATACTAGGATACAAACTTTCCAATGATTTAAAATATTTTAAATAATAAATAACATAATTTAAGTACCGACTAGTGAATTATCACAATAAGGAGTCTTACTAGTTTCAGGTTGTATGAAGTATCTGAGCTGTTTTCAGTGGTTTGAAATTTCATAGTGCCCATGTAGAAAACTAAAAAGGAAATACAATAAATGCATAAGGATCATCACTAGGAATAGCAGTATTTAGAGAGGCTCTGAAAATAGTTGAAGTACAGACTTCCTTGCCTAATGTTCTTTACATAAAAGCTAAATGTGATGTACTGTAATTTTATACTATGTTTCATCTGACTCAGATGTATGACAAACCATGGTCTGTTATTAAAAGAGCAAATATAATGATCTACAAAAGCTTACACTAAAATAAATCTGTTAGTCTTTAAAGTGCCCGAATATTTTGCCTTTCTTCCTCTCTTCCCACTTAAATGTTGCCAACATGCTAAGACAGACTAACAAGGCTACAATGAAGATGAAGAAAATATAACTAACCTGTATCATTACAAAGGACTGATAAGTTACATACATTATTGTCTATGCCTTTTGTTCCTGCAAAGAAAAGAAAAAGTTAGATCAAAACAGAAGTTTGTATTTTAAAACAATGACTTTCCTCCATTTCCTCTATCAATATTAAGTGCACGTCCTATGGAATCAACATGTTTGCGTTTTCAAAAGGAGTGATGGCTTATACTGTAATGCATAAAGATGGGTGGAATTAAATATTGATACCAAACTGCCCAGAGTAGTGCCCAGTACTAATTGGGTGGTATACAAGTTCATTAAACAAACAAACAAAGGTTATGCAACTGTTTTGGCAACATGGTGAACTTGGCTGACTGAGACCTATCCAGACAGACTGAACCCATCCAGTTCAGATACAATCAGGTATGTCTGGATCAGATTACATCAATTCAAAAAGAGCTGGATTACTTTGATGATACAGACAATAAAAGAAGAACAGAAAATGTTATCTCCAAAATACTGTGAGATAGTATCATAAAGGGAAAATGCCAAGCAGTGAAAGGAGAGAGGAGGGAAGCTGGACTTTGCTCATTGGCAGTGCTAACTTCCAAAGCAGGCAAAAATCTCAGCTGCACTCTTCTGTCACAGTGTATGTAGGAAAGGTTGGTGGAGATTATTAATTTGCCTTTTTCTAATTCTCTGCTAGCATTTTCCAAAGGTCTTTATGGAGCTTAGCAGTAGTTCTGGATTTCTGCTTCCTTCATTCTATCAGTACCAAGCTTCAACTAATCAACCATCTACAAAACCAGCTTCCTTGCTCTTTATTATTTGTTTACAGTGGTGCCTCGATTTACGACCATCCTGACATATGACCATTTCGAGCTGCAACCAGCTCAGGCCGCAAAATTTTGCTTCAACTTGTGTCTGGAACTTCAAGTTGCAATCAAAAGAGGCAGGGGGAAAAGGGCGGGGAATTCAAATTAGAGGGCTAAGCGTTGGTTGGGGAAGAGCTTCTTTGTAGCTCTTTCGCCCCAATGGTTAGAGTGTGTGAGTCAGAGGAGGCTTGCCTGGAGCTGTTCCCCCCCCCCAGCCCCATGGCGCTCTGCTGGGGCTGGCTGTGTTTTTTGTTTTGTTTTGGTGTGTTTTTCAGCCCCAGCATGTTCCTATGGGGCTTGCAGTGTTTTATTTTTTTATTTTTGGTTTTTTTCTCTCTTCTGGAATGGATGAATTGCATTCCAATGCATTCCTATAGGAAATGGTGCTTCGACTTACAACCATTTAGAGTTATGCCCATCTTCCGGAATGGATTACGGTTGTAAGTTGAGGCACCACCTTGTTTAATATGCAACTGTCTTCCCAGAACTGGAACTCAAGACAGCTTAAAATATATTTTAAAAACAGTAGAAAATTTAAAAAATAAAGTTACAAACATTAAAAATTAATTAAATTCACTGGCTGAAATCCTGTTTGTGTAATATCCATAGCATAAGGCTGATGACATCACCAGCCAAGGCAATTTTTTTGGAAAACAAATATTCCCCCTCCTGATCGAAGGGACTTATGGCACTGCTGAGTAATCTCTCTCTTCTTCAGATTTGTCACTCACTATGTGTACAAAAGTGACAACACCGGAAACAGCAGGTGGGGCTAGAGTGCTCCCCTTTAACCACACGAAGTCGACACAATTTCTAAATACTGTAACTAAATAGGACTGGAAAGTACAGTACAGGCAGCTGGCAGCAATCGCAGACCAAATTAGGAAAGAAGGATGGAACTGAATGAAAAGAATCAATAAAAGCATTTTTTCCAACATGAGAGGAAGGGTGAGGAGATAAGGAGCTCAGTCAAGAAGAGGGCAACACAAGACTCTTAAGGATTCAAAGAGCCTTGCCATTGTAGACTCTGGTTGCCTGAGGGTTACCAGAAACCAGCTTTTCATCATAGAGCTTTCTTTTAGCTTGCAAGGGAGCCCTGGATGAAACTAGTAAATAAAAACTGGCTTGCCTGCTCCACACATCCTTTCCAGTCAGGATGGAGCCTGGTAGCAGCTGAGATACACCTACCATAATAGCCACTGGACATGCAATCAGATTATGCTACCAACCTGAACTGGGGTCCTGTACTGTTTTCACCCCCAAAATACCACAGCAACTATTTGTCTTGGACTGTGTTATCTGCAATCAGTGTGTTTTTAAAAATGGAAGTGACTAAATTATAATTTTATAAAGGTTTGTTTAATGCAACTTGTTCCACACACTTCAAGTATGTAGCATAGTTAATGGAAAATGAGTGGACTGTTGGAACGAATATGAAAAACATAGCAGAAAATAAATAGCAGTTCTATTCCTTACGAATTTTGCTGTAACCCTAAAAAGAATCTCACAATCTTGTCAGAACACCAGGAACACCATGAGAAAAAGTCAGGAACAAATCTCAAAATGCAGGTCCTGCAACCATCTTCTGGCTTAGTGCAGAGATTTGAAACACTGCTTTTCTGACTACAGCTCCCAGAATATTATTTGCCTTGCTGACTGGGGATTCTGGGAATTATAGTCCAAAGGAAGAACTTTCTCAAGCTCTGGAATCCATTACTATGGATTATGCTGGGCAGTGCTCCTTGGAGCTGATACTCAAAATCATCTAGAGTGTCCAACCCTGCTGCAGGGGCAGCTATATTTTCATTACTGGCCAAGTTTAGTACAGTGGTACCTCGACTTACGAATGCCCCTACCTACGAACATTTCAAGTTATGAAAAGCTCCAGCCACAAAATTTTGCTTCGACTTGTGGCCAGAGGTTCAAATTAAGAACAGAAAAAGGCAAGGGAAAAGGGTGGGAAATTCAAACCGTTAGTGGCAAACAAGCTGCTTCTTTGTAGCTCTTTCTCCCCAGCGGTTAGAGCAGGGGATCAGGGGACTTTTTTTACTCGAAGGACGAAGGAGAGGCGGGGGCAGCTCTGGATTGCCGCTGGGCGCAGGAAGCCAGCACGCTCCCTGCTCATCCCTGGAGCGGGTCTATGTGTAAGGGCGACCAAAGGTGCAAGTCTACTCATGAGTAAGGGTGGCCAAATGTGTGCGTCTACTAATGAGTAAGGGTGGCCAAAGGCGCTGGGCTGGGCTGAGGCGCGCAGGTGGGAGGGGCTCCTCCCTGGACGGGGCATGTGACAACGGTGGCGCAGGAGGAGGCTCCCCACCAGGGAGTGAGTGCCATTGGAGGAGGCTTCAGTCTGCCTCGTAAGGTGCTGCTTTTTCCTTTTTAGAAACTTCTGGGTGGGTTTTGCAGGGTAGGTTTCGGCTGAAGGGGGTTATATTTCTGCGCTGTGGTTGTTGTTGTTGTTGTTGTTGTTGTTGTTTTTGCAGTCCCAGCATGGGGATTGCTCGATGTTTATTTTTGGGTTTAGTGTGGGGTTTTTTTTTTGCAGCCTCCGGGGCTTGCTCTGTTTATTTTTGGTTGCTTTTTAAAAGCCCCAGCGCCTTCCGACGGGCCTTCTATGTACTTTAATTTTTTTTGTTGTATTTTTTTTGAAGTGCAGGAACAGATGAATCCCGTTCCCATGCATTTCAATGGAAAATGGTGCTCTGACTTACGAAAAATTTGAGTTACGGCCACCGTTCCAATACGGATTAATTTTGTAAGTCGAGGCACCACTGTATAACAGGCCTTTGAAACAATACGAATGTGCAATATTGAGCATGGCTGGCATTCCACAGTTTCAAGTGACCTTATAGTTCCTGCCAACCCCATTCTTGGGCCTTCTTAGTGCCAATACCATGCTAGCTGATGACGGCAGGGGTTGCTGGGCACCACATCAGAAGGGCACCAATTGGGCATGTTTGGCTTAATGGTGGTCAGACAGTGTGGTGACTTCCTAACTTTGCAATCTGTATGGAGAATGACGGTAGCATCATACGTAGACTCATCAATTTATATCTGAATGTAGTGAAAAGAAAGTGGATTTTGGGTTTCAATTTAAGTACATATCCAGCTTGGACAAAAACTATACAAGCAGAGTGAATTGTATGGCAAACAACCATAACATATATTACGTTTCCATTTTGTCTTACCTATCACATCACTAGACACAGATATATTATTGATTCTTGTATTCATGATTATGCCTGCTGCTGTCATTCTAAGAGAAATGTTCTTAATAGGTGTGTCAAAACGTATTTTATCCCCTACCTTTTTATTAAACACTTATGTTAATATTCTATTGCAGAAGTGCAGAGTAAAAGGGCTGTTGAGTAAATATCCCTTCCCCTCCAGCAGGCTCCACCTTGCAACCTGCTGCATAACTGATCTTGCAACCAATGAAACAACAGGCATACAATAAGGAGCATCTACTGGAATGGTGGTGGGAATGTTCACATGACTGCTCTTCCACTCTGTATTTCTACAGTAGGATACTGGCCATAGTAACCTGTTTGGATAATAGCCACAATATGAGAAATGGGAGCTAAATGTTCAGTTGCATCATGCAACTAAAACTAGTAGTGCTTTCTCATTGTTGGCTATGAAATCATATTTGCTTGCAAATTATGGTTTTCAGAAAGCCAGCTATAGTTGCGTTAACAGTATTTATAGTAAGTGTCACTGTTACAAAATAAAAATAATTGCATAAATTAGCCAAAAAAGAACAGACGAATTCCCAGTTGAAATAAATATGGATTAAGAATGCTTTAATTTAGTTGGAACATACTGATTTGTATTTTGATTACCCACAGTAATCAAAATACAGATCAGTAACCCTACCCAATTATTTGCCATGTCAGTAAATAAAGACTGGAACATAGCAACGGTTACACCCGGGCAACACCACAACATTTATTTTAATGGCATTCTAGCAGGCTGACGCTGGTGTTGCAAACAGAGAAACCATTGTTACAATTTGGGTAACAAACTGGGGAAAAGGCATACCCATTGTTGCTGGAAAATATTCCATCCCAGTCGTCATTTCTAGAGAAAAAGAAACAAATTAATCCAAATGTAATGATATATATTGAATCTTATTTATTATTGTCATTAATTATTAATATCATAAAACACAGAAGCTATTCAATTGAAACAAAGAGAACCATATCCATTCTACACAATGTTAGTGGATTTAACAAACTATATGTTGGTAATTTGTTTTGTTTAATCCACTAACATTGTGTGAAATGGAAATGCAAATCAATTGGATTTCAGGTTTTACATATAAATACTTACATATTAGAAAAGGCAACGGCTTTATTAATTACAGCAGTAGCAGTCCCTAGCCAGCCCTGGACAATTGGATCCAGTCCATTGAGAAGCCCATGTGCCCCCAATGCCCACCACCACTATCATTTATTTCAGCAGTGCTGAAGGTTCTTCCCTGAAAGTAGGCATCTTATGGAGGCCACACAGGTGTACACCACTCCATGACTCTCTGCCACCCAGTCTGGAAAAGAGGGGCTTCCACTCCGGTCTACCTGTTCCACAGTTATTCTGCCATCCAATGTGAGGCTGTCAGGGAGAATCCCCAGCCAGCCAGCCAATCAGGAGCTGGAGGGGGTTACCCAGCTGCCACCTTCATTTCCATTCTCAGGACCTCATGATTACCACAATCTTCTCTGCTCCCTGGTAAGTCTGGGGGAAAACCCGGCTCGACTGCAAAAGGGTTGTATTGATTTCAGCAATGTTAAGTACAATGGAACAACATATCTGTCTGTGCCTACTACTACTGCAGTCACAATTGCTGCTAATAATAAGGAAAAGACTTTATTGTACAATAATAAAAAATGCTTATTGTTATTTAGCATTTGATTTATATTGATTTAAATATTGTTGGCACTGTGACAACAGTATAATTAAGATAATAAACTACCATCAGCTATCTGAGCACAAAGAGTCTCTTTGTGTTAACATAAAAGAGTATTTGCTTTCAGGAAAATAGATTTAGCAATGTTTGCTATACCTATAAATACAGTCACAGCAAATGACAAGGTCTGGTTTTTCCCACTGATAAGATGTTAAATTTTTGCCATTAGTCACAATGGCATTTCTTTAATAATATTAGCCAGCCCTTTCCTGCTTATAAAGAACACATAAATGAAAATGCACAAATTGATTGTGTAGCTAGTTAGCTATGTTACTTAAAATATATGAACCACACAGATCAGATGCTTTTCACACAGGTTTCAAATTTTGTTCCACCAGAGAAGGCCCTAAGAGAAACACTGTCAACAAAGAAAACAGTGGACTGCCTGGACCAAAGATCTGATGTAATAGAAGGCAGGTCTTAGAAGCATCTGATCAAAGCTCAGTGATTTAGGGATCTGGCTACAGAGCCAGAGGTTGGGAGTTCAATACCCCACTGTGGCTCCTTGACACGGATGGGACTTGATGATCCACAAAGTACCTTCCAGGTCTGCAGTTCTAAGAAAACTGCCTGGAAAAATGGTTTTAAATGAAGATAATAAAATTGTAGGGCTGAACCAGATGGGTGCATATTTCCTATTGGATATTTCGTGGTACAAGTAGTTCAGAAAGAGCTCAGAGTGTTTAACCATTCAAAAAGAGGGCCAGAATCTTCGCCCTCCCTGAGAACTGGTTTCACGATGACACCTCTTTCACTACTTGACCCCCTTTTGACTGAGACTTTATTCCTTGGAAGCAACTATGCAGAATGTTTGCTAGTTTCAGTGAACATTTACAAATTACTTCTCATTGGGCAGCACTTAGCCAGAAAAACTGTTGAAGGGAAAGAGCATGACACTTCCTACAAAAGCAGGACCTTCACTATCACCCCCCAAACTATGTATAAAGTTAACATTCGACATAAACCTGTTAAATTACAATTTTTTTAAAAGTGCAAAGACCAGGTTTAGGCACAACCACAGCTGTGCCTATAAGTGTGTCTCTTTATTTTCTGAAGTACTTTCTCATATATAACTCCATAACTTCCACTTGAGTTTCAGACTTGGGGATTCCTTGAAAGGGGATGGACCCGAATCTTTTGCAATTAAAAGTGGCGATAGAAGTTACCAACATAGACAAATTCTTTGTGCAAATGATTCTTACCTGCAGTATTCAGAGTTACAGCTGTAGATGGGTCTAAGGATTAAAAAAAAAAAGGGCAAAAGTAAAATAGGTGGCAGAAGTTCAGAAGAAAAAATAATTTTAAATGCCAAACCTACTCTATGTTAAGAATACTAATAAAATCTTGCCTGTAGCACTGTTAGGATAGGTGACAAAAGTGACAATGGATGAGTCTGCTGTGAAGAAAGATTCAATTTAATATAAATGCACATGTAAAGATGGAATAATTTTCTTACTATCTGTTGGTCAAGAAGACGAAACTTGAAGTAATGGGTGCAAACTAAAAGGAAACAGATGGCTCCCTAAATATTATAAGGCAACAATAATAGCTATTGGACAGATTGCCTGAGGAGATGGTGAGCCCTCTTTCACTGGAAGTGGTTAAGGAGATTCTGGAAGGCCACCTGCATCTAGCACAGGAGATCCTACCTCAAGCAGGAAAATTGACTAGATCAGGGGTCCCCAACCCCCAGTCCATGACCCGGCAGTGGTCTGTGGCCTAGGCAGAACCAGGCCGCGGACGCAGATCTCCTCCCCCCCCGCAAGCACCCACCCACAAGTGCCATTGCACGCATGTGCACAAGTACACTCCATCCACTGTGAGTCCACCATGTGCATGCCCCACCATGTGCATGCGTGCGAGCGTCTCCCACGAGTGCGGCCACACGCATGAGCATGAGCACACTCCACCCCCTGCGGGTGCGCCACACCCCCACAAGCATGCCATGCCCCCTGTGCGAGCATGTCACACACCCCCAACCAGTCCGTGGCTGGGAAAAGGTTGGGGACCACTGGACTAGATGATCTCAAAAAGAAACATTATAGCTTTTAAAATCCTGCCATCCTGTGGAATTCTGAGAGTGGAACCACGCAGAGCAAGGCCTGGGCAGGCAAGCTAATATGGGAACCAGCTCTACAGATCCTTCTTATACATTCTTATACTGAGGGATGAAGAATATGTTATTCTCCAGATGTTGTTGAATTGCACTTCCTACCATCCTTCACAACTGGTTATGCTGGCCGGGGCTCATGAGCGTTGGAGTCCAACAAGTTTTGGAATGCCACATGTTCCCTACTCCTCATATTCAAAAAGCAAAGCAAAGCATGCTGCTTATATACCACCCCATAGAGCTTAAAGCATCCTTTGGGTGGTTTACAACTTAATTATACAGGCTACACATTGCCCTCCCCCCCCCCAGCAATCTGGGTACTCAGTTTACTGACCTCAGAAGGATGGAAGGCTGAGTAAACCTTGAGCCAGCTACCTGAGCCTGTTGGGTTTGAACTAAGGTTGTGAGCGGAGTCTTGACTGCAGTACTGCAGTTTAAGCACAGTGCCATGAGGCTCAGTGGTTAAAGGCCAATTATTATTTAAGATACTCTTGAATACTATTTGAAAATCTTTTTCTATAGGGAATAATACCAAAGAGAAAAAATAAAACAGTCTCATGATCACGAGATTGGTAAATTGCATTCCCATCTAACAATTCCTCTTAACCTGTTTGTGCTCAGAGCACACAACAAAGATGTGCAAGTTACTCATGCATCTGCTGTTGTTGTCACTTCCCACTTCCCAAAGCTGCTTTTATAATTCACACAGTTCCAATTGTCATTCTGAGAAACTGTGATAGTTATGCATAGTTTAGAGATGTTAGTTTTTCACAAGTTTCTCTGGTGATCTGCTAACACTGACCCTTTTAAGAAAATAAAGCAAAAGAAAATACTGTAAAGCATGAATACTGGAGGGCAAAGTAATAATCAAGAAACAAACAATTTTTCACCAGCATTCATGAAATTAATTAGAAGACTGTCTGAAAACGAAAATATTATTATTAGCACCTTTTGGGGGGAGGGGCATAACTCAGTAAAAGATTCACACGCCTAATTCCCAATTTGGCATAACATGACTTCTATAAGAAATCTATTTTCCTGTCTAGACCAAAGATGAGCAACTTCCAAAGGTTTGTGGGCCACACACACTCACCCCTGGACCCCTTGCTCTGCCACTTCTAAAATATACATATAATATAAATATATTTTTCTTTATATTTTTTTAATTTGAAAATGCCTCTTCACTTGCCCTGATGGCCATTTTTTAAAATTTATTAACTCTGAGTAGTGTGAGCAGACAGAGGTAATATAGAGGATATAACATGGTAAAATCACCTTCTATGCCCCCTAGACAATATCAGGGGACTTTTGAACAACAACAACAAAG